TGGAATCATATTGGACGGCCCAGGTGAAGATATTGGGCTTAATTTTGATAGGCCGTAACGGGCCGGGAGTTAGCGGGCCGTAAATGGGCTATATATGAACACGCCGTTAACAGGCTTTCCGTGGGTCGGCCCGTTACCTTTTGACCAAGTCAAATGGGCCGGCCTTTTCACCAGAATGGGCCTCTGTTGGACTGTGTCATGTGTCGACGTATCATAGGCGCCTCCTGTCCAATGAGTGGATGACATCTGTCCCAACGGTGAGCCAACACGTGTTTCCTCTAGCCAATGAGAATTTTACACATGGAAAATCCCCATTTGTCCAGGCTTATAACGGGTTATCGGATCCAAAACCGGACCCGATAGCTTAACGGCGACCTGTTATGGTGGATGCCACGTGTCGGTCACCCTTGACGAAAGCACTTCTATGACGTGCGATTTATCGTCATGGAAGTGGACACTTCCGTGATGATAATTTTTGTAATGTCATGGAACACTTCTACAACAGCACAGGTATGACTATCTCGATTCTATCATAAAATCGTCATGGATGTACATGCATGACAGAAAACGTGACCTACTGTGACAAACATGTATCATCATGGAAGTGTATTTTTTTGTAGTGTTGGGCCGCCTGTGACCCTGGGCCGGCTACCAGAAGGCGGTGTGCTTCCAATAGGCAGCCCCCAGTGGGCCGGCATCTAGCAGGCGGCCCTGCGCCTCCTCAAAGTTTGCACCCCATTACTATGATGAGACGGGGCGTGGCTACAGCACGACCTGCCACCCCCGAATCCAGGGCAAAGCGTGGCCACAGTGTGGGTGTACCAAGCGGACACCCCTCGCCCGGCGTGGCACTGTAGCCAAGCAGCCCATGACCTCACCTACGACAAAGGAGCCATGCTCCCACGACAAGCAGTCGGTACAGCCTGTAGGCAGCGAGCCCTACCTGTCCACCAGCCACCAAAAGGTGGCAAGACCCCAGCAGGCGGCAACGAGGGCAAGCCGGCTCCTAGCAGGCGGCCGTCCTCTCCCTTGGAGTTTGTGCATCATTAACCAGAAGAGATGGGGTGTGGCTATAGTGAACGCCCGCCAGGCGGTGGGAATGTAGCCACGCTCCCCCTGACAAAGCCTCTGTCATCAAGGGCAAGGCTACAGTATAAAGGGGCCGGTATGGCCCGCAGGCGGCGGGCCCTACCTGTTGGTCGAGATCACGGCAGTCGGCGGGCTCCAGCAGCCGGCGGAGAAGCCGGTGCCCAGAGACGCTGACGGTCGGCTCCTACACCCGGTCCTGATTACCATTATACCCCTGGGGGTAGGCCTATATAAACCCCCAGGTCTCCCCATGCAAGTGTTCAGAACCTTGGCCATTATACACACATATAGAGAGAGAGGAGTAGAGCTGGCCTTGCCCTTCTTCCTCCTCTAGACGAACAGCTCAAGGAGCAATCTTGTAGCTACTCTATTCACCATAGTGATCATGCGGAGACCCCGCAAAACAAGATTAGGGGTGTTATCTCCACGGAGAGCCCCAAACCTGGGTAAGACTCGCAGGCGTATGCCGTCTCGCTCACTCCCGCTTCTAGAGCCCAGCGAGGTACTTTTGACCCCCTCCATGATAAGCCATCCCTTGGCATATGTCGCTAGATATCCCCGACACCAGGCGACCTGGAAGTACAATCGCAGTGGTTCTCCCTTTACCCTCTTAGCCGAACATGCCGAACGTAAGATGGTAAACATAGGAGCCGGGCAACCCAACTATTGACCCAAGATATAATTCAAAACCTATTCATATAATGCAATATCCGAGGCGCCGAGCACATAATATAAAAAAAGGTGTGGGAATGATGCTTGAGGCGAGTTTATAGTCAAGCCCCTGGTCTATTCAGCTGATTGCATCTAAAGAAAACATGTATCGAACTAGTTTATTTTGGCATCGAAGAGCGGAAAAGGATATGCAACATGAATGACCGCAATGGGACCGAAAAAGATGGTCTTTTTCATGACGCCTAACCGTACAATCTGACTTGCCGAAGCAACTGTTACAGATACTTTGAAGAATAAGCTTTATAGAAGAAAGGTTTACATAGCGCTTTCATGAGAGCCTTGACGTCCCTACTGCGCCCTGCTACACGTCTGTGCCTTTGCTCCTTGAGAGGGTTCCATAGAGGAGGTAGTGATCGGCGGGCGGGACCTTGAAAGATGATCTTGAGAAGTCGACATAATATATTAGCTTGATGCTGGATAGGTCCTAGATGGTACCTATTGTTGTTTGAGGACACGTTTGACCATAGCTCGGTCAAGCCGAACACTGGGCCCTTGGATAATTGGCCCCCACAGCTGCCCATGATATTTTTGAGCGCAAAGTGGTGCATCCGAGGCACACAGTTTACGGCTAGCGGGGCCATGCTGTGAGGAGCATGTTCCTATTTATGTTGAGCGTGGGGAGACTCCGGGAGCTCAGATAAGGCTCGGGCTCGTTTGCTCGCCTCTCATGCCTTAACGGCGGGCTGGGGTTTCGGTGCCTCGTTGCCGATCTGGACTTCGGCTGCCAGAGCCGCCATGTGCTCCTCGGTTCGGAGTGAGCGCTCCGTGTTGCCATTAACAGTGATGACACCCTTGGGTCCGGGCATCTTTAGCTTCAGATATGCGTAATGCGGGACGACATTGAAGCGAACGAACGCAATACGGCCAAGAAGTGCGTGATAGCCGTTGCGGAAAGGGACGATGTCGAAGATCAAGTCCTCGCTGCGGAAGTTGTCGGGCGAGCCGAACACTACCTCCAAAGTCACAGTGCCAGAGTAACAGGCTTCGACGCCTGGGATTACTCCTTTAAAGGTTGTGTTGCTGGGTTTGATCCTTGACGGATCAATACCCATTTTTCTCACTGTATCTGAGTAAATCAGATTGAGGCTACTGCCTCCGTCCATGAGGAGTCCAGTTAGTTGGTACCCATCGATAATGGGGTCAAGTACCAGGGTCCAAATGCATGTGGCCACATAAAGACAGGAGGGAATTGCATTTCTTTGTGCGGTCTGATTCATCATGGGTGGGCAACAAACATTGTATAGAAAGAAGCAGAATCTCCATAATATGCTTCCTCTTCTATTCTTTAACATGTTCCTCTTTTGTTCTTCTTTAATAAGTACAGTATGTTCCTTGTCAGGAAGGGGAGCAGGGACATCTGTAGTCGACAGGTCTATTAGGTCGCTTCTGCTAGATGCTTTCAGCACTTAGAGTTGGTCTGCCAAAATATCCAGGAAATGTTGGGAGCTATGTGGCCTTTCAGAGACTGGACTGATAGTAACAGACTAACAATAGTGCGCTTTCAGGTGAATAGAGCTGGCCTGTAGGGGATCGAAAGGCTTTCGATTAGTAGCGCCAATACAAGCCCATATTTTTCAGCCAGTTCCACTTTCATGATTTATTTATGATGCTTATGGTTTCCCCCTTTTATCTATACTACGATCTGCCTAGATGCTTTGTATCGTACTAGCAGAACTCCATCCTTCAAGCTAAACTACATGCCATTCATATTTCCAAATTTTATATTTTATTGGTCAGCTAATGTTACTACGTGAGTTTTGAAATGCATGTGCGCCTCATATAGAGACATGAGGGAATACTTTTTCTCTGTATGATCTCATCATCGTGGTTGGCAATAAACTTAGCATATAGTATATTTTCAACCTATCATCTACCAACTATCATTACTTCTGGAGCTCCCAACTGGGAGCCTGTTTTTTGAAGTAGTAGTGCTAGATTGTATTAATGCACACATCAAATTACAACATACATGGGCTCTCTCATCAGAATTCCAGAAATAACACACAAGGGTTTATAGGAAGCCCATATTATATTAGAATATACTATGCATTACAAAGATAATTTCACTGCTATTTATGTTTTTATGCATCTCAGATTTTGAAAATGATCACAATGAATATGAAAATGCGCACATCAAAAAAATATTGCGGAACAGTGAAATGACTGACAAATATGTCACCAAGGGACTGAGTTCCGTTTTGGATGCAATGAAACCCTCACACTCCCACGTACAGATTCATGTTCAGAATATGATCCTAATGACTATTCTGAGCTCGAGTAGTCAAAGTCAAATGGCCTATCATGTTCAACTATCAAGGGGCATGTTCTAATTTGGCAAGATTTTATTGGTTCACTTATCTTGCATAAGGTGTCTTGTATTTCTTCTACTACATTGCACCGCCGTCTTCTTAGTTTACTCATCATATATGTAAAGATGTCATGCCCATTCATTATCAATACCTATTGTACATCATACTTCAACATCATCCGTTGCACAAAATGGTTTTACATAGCACGAGAAATACACATATTTTCGAGTGATCGTCACCTTCTGTATAGCTCGGCAACCATACATTTGAAGGCAAGTGCATACTGCCATTAGTTGGTCGACTACTTATCTGAGCTGCGTGCACCCAGGCACAAAGAACTGCTTCGAAGCTACCACTATATGGTTAAGCCAGGTAAAAGGAGTGCGCTATCTCGTTGACAAACAAATCGCTCGTTCCCGTACCTCTCTGAGTAACAAAATTCCCAAATAGTGTCAGAGCTGCAAAAAACAAAGATAGCAGTAAAATAATGCTAGACTGCATTCACTGCATACAACATTACTAAATTGAACAACATTAGTGCTTCCGCATTATATTTTTCCATTCCCATTTCACCGCCCAAGTGAAAACCCAAAAGATTACATCAGAGTATTGCCTACTTAGCTACCCACCGGAGATCGAGCGATGGAGAGGAGAAAACAACATGAGTTATTACGAAGGATCAATCATGCTGATATTTTGTAACAGAATCAATCATCAAACATGAACCTCTAGTGATCTTCAAGTCATTTTGTAACAGAGTCATTGCAGCTGATCTTTTGTATGATAAGATGCCAAATGGGATGATACACATAAGGAAGAACACGGTAATTCTCAAAAACAAGGGCCACACTCGTTTCTTCCATACTGCTCTCATCGTTTGCTAGCAGCCAACCCCTTGCCCTTGTCTCCAGCCGTGGTCTTGTTTGCAGTAGACTCCTTGACCTTGGAACTGATCTCACATCCACCCATTTTGCCCTTGGAACTGCACTTGTGGCCAGGCCCCTTATTCTCCATGCCCTTGGAAATACTATTAGAGCTACTCTTATTTCCAGCCAACTTCTTGGAACTGCCATCACCACCCTTGCTTCTCTTGTTTTCAGCAGACTCATGCATAGAACTGCCATCCCCATCTCTCTTTTTCTTGTTTTCAGAACTGCCATCTCCATCCCTCTTTTTCTTGGTTCGAGAACTGCTATCCCGATCTCTCTTTTTCTTGTTTCCAGAACTGCTATCTTCATCTCTCTTTTTCTTTGTTCTAGAACTGCCATCTCCATCTCTCTTTTTCTTGGTTCCAGAACTGCCATATCCATCTCTATGTTTCTTGTTTCGAGGTAATAGTGTCCTGAGTAAGTTTATCAAGTTCGAGACACACTTTGCAGAGAATGCTAGCTTCTCCCAAGTAAACTTAGGATCGGATGACAGGATTATGCCCATAACACTTCCGCTCAAGGTATATACTGGACAAGTAGATAATCTGTCATGGCCATCAGAGGTATTCTCGCTGTAGTGACAATTTACCACGAAATAGGTTCCTGAACCAGGAATCTGATCAGTGGCACCAATGCGAGCACATTTGAAATTGCCATAATATGACTCTGTGGATTCCAAAATAACAAAACTCGGAAGATAATAGAAACTAGCTGACGAGGAAGGAGGGAAGATGATCACAGGTGAGGGGGTAATATTCGCTTCCATCAACTCAATTTGCTCACACGCTGGATGAAACTTTGTTTTCAGGAAACAAAAAGGCCCGTATGTCTCAATAAAGGAGGCTGGCAGCTCAGTATTGTCAGAAAAGAAAACCATCAAATTGTCCTTACGGTCCATGACAAATTCAGCATCGGTAACAACATAGGTACCCTGTCTCGCTTCAGTGATTGCAATAAATCCACTGCAATATTCAGTACCGTCGATCTCTTTAACAATGACCATTGACTTGGCTGTCTCAACACAAGCCTCTACCTTTGACATGATGCTGAACAAAATTTACTGTGGTTAGTGTAGAAGTATAGCAATAAGAACAAGAAATTTAAGACAAACATGGATTAATCGCATGGAGTAGCAACAGGAATTAAACAAACTGGATATAAACAAATAAAGGCGCTAGAACCACTGGCTGATCCAGAAATAGAGAAGGGGGCCTAATAAGAGCATCTCAAGCACTTGCCCCTAAATAAGGAGCCCTATCTGTAACAGCATCTCATTTTTCTTTTCCGCACCTATTTCCAAATATTGGTTACCCTAACTTGCTTTGGACAAAAGGCTTTGTTGCTGTTGCAGTTGTTCCTACTCCCAAATATTCTCTACTTATATTCTTCATTTTACAGCACAAAAAATCAAACAAAAACACTACTTAGTACTGTCTAATGCATAAAATTGAACAATATTCAAACTTACTATTTCAAACACGACAATGCAAATTCAATTTTTTCAAACATGAAAACGGAAGTTCATCACACTTAACAGTAAACAGTTGAGGTATGAAGTACTTCACTTACATCATGCAAGCGGCAGCAGTTGCAATAGAAGTTCCATTTGTGTCAGTTTTCAGTGACTAAAAGATTAAATCAACTAAATATAGACATACAGCCAGAGCCAAGAACAGATCAGAACAATTTTAAAGAAATTAAGCTTCGAATCATATGCTAGCAATCTTTCAAGTCATTACTCTGCATGTACAACATGTGTGCAAAATGGATCGTTCAGATCACATATACAATAGGTTAAAATAAAAAATAAACTGAAAATCGAAGTCCTCGCAAGGTAAACGCCTATTTATCATCATCATTTAGATCTGTTAACAGCCAAAGACAAGAAGGCTGAGGGGGTGTGGGAAGAACTCGCCTTGCCGTGCATATTCACAAGAAATATATTCACAAAGAAATAACCATATTCGTCATTGGCAGCAACTCATGAGCAAGAGAACTCACTATAGATCACAACTACAGTAATTTACATGCTTCACAACAATGAAAAAAAGAACATTACGTTGGACAGGGGGAAGTCGGGTGCGCGGAGGGGAGGGACGAGCCAGAGGACGACGACGGCGCTCGAGGTCGGGGAGGGACCAGTCAGTAGGGGAGGCTCAAGACCGCGGAGAGGCCTCCTGCGCCGCCGAAGGCGCGAGCTCAGGGGAGGGGGTCCGGTGGCGGGCGAGTACGGGCAGGCGGCGCTCGTGCTCGAGCTAGGGGAGGCGGCCTCCTGTGCAGCGGATCCGGCAGGGTCCGGCGAGGACGGCCTCGTTTGCGCTGAATCTGGCGGGGACGGGCACCCGGGTGCCGGTGGACGGAGGTAGGGACGACAGAGGAGGCAGCTCAGGTGCTATTTGTTTTTTCCTGAAACTAGCAAAGTGGCCCGCTCGATGCGCCGGCTAAACATTAGAAAGTTTGATAATGGAAACATATTATTTGATTTGTCTACAAAAAAATTGGAGTATGTGATGGCATATACAAATGTTTGAGTTTTGAGAACATAGTTCTTCTTCTGTATGTTTGATTTCACATATAAATATATGTATCCATTTATCATATACCTGCTTATTATGCATGTAATAGTATCTTTTACGATGAATTTCATTGAGCAAATTGTGTTTCTTATCATTTTTATGGCATTTTTATCATGTTGCATTGGCCGTCATCATCCATATGGAAAGGATGAGTCAACATCGATCGTAAGAGAGTGTGAGGTTCTAGGGGTGTTGTTGTTCCAAAGTCCTAAACCGGACGTGTCAGTCACTTTTTGAAAGCTAGCCGGACTAAAAATTTGTGTCCCACCTCGACATCGACACCTCGGCTTTGTTTTCTATCGTATCTTAATGTATTATTTTTATATGAGCATAATTCTTTTCATCAATTTATCTACTTGTAATAATAATATTAGCCAAAAGAGGAGAGTTTTCACATAATTAACATATAGAAACATATAGGCGTGTTTGTCTTTAAACATGGCCCGCTCCATGCACGGGCTAGAATTTTTTGAAGATTAATAGTTAAAACAGATTATTTTATTTGTGTAAAGAAGATTTGGAACCAAGTGTGATGACATTTATAATCATTTGTCATTTTTATCGTTTGTTTGTGAAGTGATGGTTGTAAATTTATTTTACCCTTAGACATATGTTTGGTATTTTTTTTCATGATAAGATGAGAATAATTTCTCTTTCATTTTTTTGGAAATATTGGGCGAAGACTTTCTCATCGAATTCTTTGGGAGCACCTCCCCAGCCCCTGGGTTTGCTGGATGTGGCTGTAGGATCTTGTTGATAGTTTGTATCGACTTGACATAAAATTGTACTTTTGTATGCATACTTCAAATATCAATGATTGGTATGGGTTTAATATGTTTTCTTTATGATCATGTGATATATATTTTGATTTGTTCAGAACATTTTTCAGCATAGAAAGTAGACTATAATTTAGTCTGAGCGCACTTATGTGAACTCCACCTGTTTTTGGGGGTGTACAATACTGTACACAATCACTGTTTAATAGTAGGATATTTTGTTTGTTTTTAGAAAAAATGTTTTTTTTCTGGTGGAAGCCCAAGTGGGTGTTGCAAGTCTAGATAGCGTGCACACATTTGTTCTGGTGGAAGCCCAATAAGATCACTTCTCTCGCACCCACACTTCACACACCTTACAGTCTCACCATTCCTAAAAATATTCAGTATCACCGCTCAGGAAATAAACACCTAACAGTCTCCCACGGTGCTCGTGCCTGATCCCCTTTTCATCTTGTTCTATCCCCCCTGTACAAATTTCGTTCAACCTGAGCGCTGCGGATTTAATTCCCAACACCACCTCAGTTTCCCCTCTTGATTCCTTGCCGTGACCTTGCTCTTACACACCTGCACGCACGGGGCCGCCATCTCGTGCGCCTAATTTGGCTCCCTGTACGCCTCCTCGATCTGCTAGGCCGAACAGCGATGGAGGGTTACCAGGGCTCGATGAGAAGCTGCGCAATGGAGGAGTCGAGCTTGTCGATCTTGAAGTGTCGCTGTCGTCGGTGTCCTTGGAGCCGACGTGGGCATTGATTTCGTCTCACAGATCCAGCTTGAATCCACCTCGATTGTGAGGATGCTGGCGGCGTTGTCTTCCATCGCATCGTGGCCGTCCCAGAGCGAGGTGCCCCGGCAGGCCATCTTCATCCTCACAGTGGAAGCCTGACTTCGGCGGCTCATTTTTCACCTGCAGGTCCCCCCTTCTTCTTTCCAGCCTATCTCATACTCGTATATTTTTTGTTGTTTCATATAATGTACATTAAGGTACGGCTTGTTAGTGAAATGTGTAAATCTATTTATGCCCCCATACACTTTTTCCGTACTTGGAACTGGCATCTGAAGTGTTAGGCCCCCTGCCCCCATTCATATTTTAAAATAATAAGAAATTAAAAAGTTCATTTGTAATTAGCTATAGTTTTTTCCGCAAAAAAGCTATAATTTTACTACTAAAGATAGACTTAATTTTAATAAGTGAATGTGAAAATGGGTGCTATTGCATTTTACATATAAACTATAACGATCCGTGGATGTTGTCACTATTGACTTGTACTTACAATAGAATAAGGTTAAAATATTAGATAATATGTAGTGTCGACAATTAGTATTATTGAGCTATTTCCATCGAATGTTGATGCATGTTTCCAATACTTGTGGGAGTAGTAGATCATATTTGTTCTACCATATCATGTTAGCATAGAAAATTCAATTTTATTTTGAGGATAGTTCGCACTGTACTAATTTTCCATCTACTTACGGTTATCCTTGTTATTAGTTCATTTGCTATAGAAAAGAAAATAACAAGTCTGATCAAGTCAGCATGTTATTACATGCAAGTGTTTTGAGTACCCCCTTTCTCTTATGTCTCTCATGAACTATGTGGAACACTCGGTCAACAATATCCGGTTTTTCTGATGCAGCTTGGTCTACTTCCTGTAGCATAGCTTGTATCTCTGGCCAAGCTGCGTTCAACATGAATATCACAAATAGGTATGCGTATCCAGCCCACTGACATATTGCCATAACATCTTGGTAGTTTTGTGCTTTGTATCTTGGGCTATCTATGAAGCTGGATGGCACATGGCAGTAGTATTCTCTTTCATACCTGCTCACCTCTTGTATCTTCTCTTTCTATTGTCTCTTGCAAGCTAGCATATAGTTACGTTCTTAGGTTTCCTTGGTGTCTTTTGATTCAGTCCAGTTTATACTGCAAAATGTATGCAAGGGCATCCACATTGAACTGCAGTTTAAGCTTCTAACACACCAGGAAGTGTTTTGATTGATTAGTATGGTGTTGTATATGACTCTCATAGTATTTCCAAAATTGTTACATGCTTTCTCTTGCATTTTGCACCTTATCTTAGTATGTAATGTATATTTCCTCTATATCTTCTCTGTAGGGGAATAATAATGGACACTGCATAGCCATGAATTATGAATGGTTCTTTGATATTCTTCTCGGCCTTATGTCTTTGTACTGAACAATGATATCACATCCCTTTCTATTCATTCACAATCAAGCCTGCGACTTCAGTTGCCATTCTGAGTGCTTTTGTTATCTCTATCCAACATATTTTTAAGGCCCTCGACAATATTTGTTGACTCCCTTGTGTATTCTGATGTTGACGCATAAATCCTATTTTACCCCATTTGTAGGGTCATAGGTGCATAACTGCGCGGTCTGTGTTTCGTCTTTACCTTCACGTAGTAGTGTTCCTATTTTGTGGTATTTTTAGCCATTCATTCCAAATACCTTAAGGTCCACGACCATTGTTTATTTTTGTGTCTACCTTTCCTCCCGTTGATATGAAAGCGAACATGGACTTGTACAATCTAAATATTTTTCATGTAGTTTTTGCACCTCTTTCCATTGTGTTTCCTTAGCAATTTGGTGTCATCCAGTGGCTTTCTCAATAGTGGCAAGTCAACCTTGCCTGTTGGTAGCATAATCTGAAAGATGGCATGTTCTTGCTCTA